TCTCTCTCTCTCTCTCTCTCTCTCTCTCTCTCTCTCTCTCTCTCTCTCTCTGTATGTATGTTATGTGTGTGGTGTGGTGTACAGTTAGGGTCTTCGCTGCTACACGCAGGAGACCTGAGTTCGATTTTCGTGAGGAAATTTTCTTTTATCGAGTACCTTGGTCTGTCTGCTAGGACTCGTGTCCCTCTTAGCCCTTGATGGTCTTGACAGGGAAAAATCCTAAGCCCGCTAACTGAATTGTCTATTTATTGTGTCTATGGTGGGGTGTAAAAACACCGACATTGTAGAAAATATTGCTCTCTCTGGCTGAGTGTGTGTGTGCGAGTGTGAGTGCGAGTGTGAGTGTGAGTGTGTGTGTGTGTGTGTGTGTGTGTGTGTGTGTGTGTGTGTGTGTGTGTGCGTGCGTGCGCGCGCGATGAAATGAGAGGCGCCGACACCAGGCGGACGGAGCAAAGAGTATTTTCAGCCTTAGGTCTTATCAAACAGGAAAGATACAATTATTAGAAGTGACAAATTGAAAGAGACATTCTGGGTATGTATTTTATTTTTAAGTTGTGAAAACTATCTGTTTTGGTAAACATGATTAAGCACATAAGGATTATTTGGTGTGGGGAGAAGTAATATCTTATTCTGAAACAGAAAGACATAAACAAGAGGGAAATAAGAGAAATTGGTCTTATAGGACATACAGGCGCGCCCACACCCCCCCCCCCTCGTCCTCCTCTAAACACCATAGGGTCCAAAGAAATGGTTGAGTTGAGCTGTGGTTAGTCCTCAAGGGCACGACTCCACTATATAAAGGGACTCGTGTTTGGATAATACATACACAAAGACAAGTGAGGTTTTTGTTTTAGTAAAAGTTTTACGGCACTTGCAACACAATAAGGTCATATAAGTGCCGAAGATTAGAGGTGTTACAAGAGAGTAACAAAAACTAAATAGAAGGAGGGGAGATAAGGACGATAGACGTTTGATAGGAAAGAAGGAGCAAACCACACCAGAGCACCCGCCAACCACCCACAGAGAAGTGAGGCAAGATGAAATTAGATAAGATAACATTTCAATTTCATTGAGTTCCACAAAGGGAAATTTGCTTTAGCATGGTGAATGTGCATACATGCACGACACTCCTATGCTGCTACATACACACACTGACATTTATAAAGACACACACAAAGATTGGAAGGATCTCCAAAATTATGTTGTATTTGCACAGATGGCAACGCCTCAATGACTCGTACAGATAATGGTATGAACGAATTGTAAGACCTGTTGGTTCTTGCTTTAAAACAAAATTAATAAATAAAACACTTCTAGCAGAGGTCTGGTATTTCGACACTAGGTGTCAGCAATAATCTTTTTTGCTGCTTTCACAATACTGGCATTTTGTAAAGCTCCGAGACAAAGTACAGGAGCAAACAGCACAAAACCACCCAGTTAAAAAAAAAATCCATCCACAAGAAAGAGTTGAGACACGAAAATAAGACAGAGGGCAGACAAAGGGAGAAAAAAAAAAACGTCACCAGAAGTTCCAAAAAGACAGACAAGCAATTGGAGACCGTAAAGCAGGGACACACAATTTTCAAAAAAACCAACACATCGTCAAGAAAACGTCTGCCCCTTCGTAAAAGATGTCCACCTCAGGCCACCTGTTTAAGACAAACATTTTTTCCTTTCGACAGAGGGTGGTCGTGAGGAAATTTTGACTGTACATGTACTTGTATTCATCATATATTATATATATATAACAAACACACAACAAAGATAGGGGTGGGGAAAAGGCAGTTTGTAAAAAAAAATGACGTGAAAAAATTCACCCAAAAAATCAACTGAAAAACCTCAGAACTCAGAACATGCATAATCTAGGAGCATGGTATTATATAAAAAAATCGACCTAAAAATAGTTCATTTAATAAATACACACAGAGATCATAGAGAAATTCAGCTGTTCCTTAACCTGCAGGAGAAAATGGACCTACATCAGCACGACTCCAAGGCAGTATCATAGAATAACTAATTCAACTCATCCTGAGGTAGATATATTGAGATGAAATGTAGAACACAAATATATTTTTATAAATTTTTATCTTAGACTGAGATATTATTTTCTTCATTTCATTTATTAATCAAAATGAAGTAGATTGATTCAAGCCTTGGACCCTCACAAAGTTAAATCCACCCACTTCGCAAATTCATGATAAGATATAATATATAGTTCAAAGTCAATTAAAAGTCTGTTTGCAGTTGACAAAACGCATCATGCACAGTAAAAGTTTGTCTTTCTCAATACATTCATTTTCTTTTACTGTCTAAATATAATCCAAGCTTCCTGACACAAAAATTTTTAAAGGGGTAACAAAATTAATGCTTTCACTAGTAAGACAAACCTGAATATCTGTTTTCAGCCAGTTGTGATCCAGGCGTGACTCAGGCCGCAACACCGCCTGTCTCATCCATTCCACACTCATAACTAGTGATTGAGACAGTTTGTCACCTGAAACAAAGCATAAAGAATGACATGGGTCTTTCACCAAAAAAAAGTTTTATAAAGTAAGCTAAAAACAGCCATAAAAACCATACAATATGCACCGCTTGGAATATGTTACAATAACACGACATTGTTTAACCAAACAATAAATTAGAACAATGACACATATGGTTGAAATTTCACAAAAGATACTAACAGAAAACAGAAAAATTTCACATTTTAAAAACTATGAACACTCAACTGGCTGTTCAAAATAACTTTTTTAGTAACAGTTCTCTAGTGTGCAAAATATAAATAAGGTGTCAGTATTTCGATAAAATAAACAGCTTCATGCTTGTTCTGAATTATTTTACACTTAGGCCTGCTTCAGCTCTCCATGGACAATGCCTGCAAGAGTCTAGGCTACAATTTTCTTCAAGATGAAATATAAATGAAGCATTTGGCAGTATTTTCCACGTTGAAGCAGCAGAAGCTAAAAAAAGAACATTTGTCGTTTACAAACTTTTTATGTTCGCAGCTTAACACCTTTTCTACACGGTGTTGATAGCTTTGCAATTATTGTGGAAGAGAATTTCTTGAAATCCATTGATTCCCGACTGTTTTAATAGCAATAAGTGCATTTTGCAGCCAAAAATATGTTGGTTTGGCCCCAATAACTAGAACATCTGTAATGTTGATAAAGCCCTTCGTTGCCGTCTGACGTACCTGGTACGTCATGAAAATGCGCAATTTTTACCCCTGTGTCGTACCATGTACGTCATGGAATGTACGTCATGGAAGTTGGCAAAATTTGCCACTCCTGGTTGCCTATATGACGTTACATGTACTACAGAGTTTTAGCCACAAACGTTGCGTAGATTCGTATTCGAGAATAGAAGACGCACGTATCTCTACCAAATTTGCCAGTATTACTTTACACACAGATCTAGGCTTGGAGGTGGCCGTGAGCCCTTGTAAAACATAAGAATCGTAATGACTTTAAAAAGTAAAATAAATTCTCTTTCTGACTTAGATTTGCAGGTCATTCGAACATCATAGGTAATTATAATATTAGTATAATTCAACAGTTAAAAGTAAAAGCAATCAGAGATAGCAACTTAGAAAATGCAGACCAGCCACTCTAAGAAATCTAAAAATCATGATCTCTTGGGAAAAAAATTGGGATCAACGACAAATCACCAAGGCGAGTGACAAGTTGACTTAAAAATTTCACAGGAGTGTCCATTAATATATATTCATGTACATCATGCATATGCCCTCTCTTTGGTGTGTGTGTGTGTGTGTGTGTGTGT